TAAGATCAGTATTAAAACACATTTAAAACTGATGTTCTGGACCGCAGTTCTCCCGCACCCCAACTAACATGGCCAGCGGTTATGAGAATTTACGACTAAAACATCTGGAGGGCACCAGTTTGCTTAACTCCCCGAAATCCCTTTTAGAAAGGGGGGGGGGGAAGGAAGCGTAGTTCCCCTTCCTTCCTTGCCCAGCAACCAGTGACGAAAGCAGGAACGCGCTTTTCCTATTGGCTGGGGAATTCCCACTCTTGTTTCCCTCTGAACTGCCTTCTCCGCCCAGCTGGATTCACAACCGGGTGACCGCCGGAGGCAGGGAGAGAAGAAAGGCTGGAAGGTCGCCTTTGTAGGGGGGACATTTTGGGTGAGTCCTTCCTCGGCATAAATCCCTCTTTCCCCCCAATTGCAAGGAAAGGCGGCTGGGCAGGAATTGCACTGAGGCTCAGCCGAAGTCCTGACCATGTATGAGCACCTCTGTCTTATCTGGAATAATACACATAGGCAGTGCATTTAAAGCACCGATTTTTGGGGGGTTTATGTGTGATTTGGGTTCCTAAAATCTGCTGGGGGGGCATTGAAGCTCCCCAGTGAAAACCTCCTGGGGCTAAAGTCCCTCTTCCTTTCCCCTGTGTCTCCCCCCCCCAATTATAATTTGGAGTCAGACCTCCCCCCCACTGACCTGCTTGGGGAAAATCTCATTTAAGGAAAGAGGGGGCGCAAATTCAGCCAGATTTCTGGAAAAATTCAAAGACCCCCTAAGCCTGACTAGAAAGCCCCCAGGATCTGGATTTAGCAGCTTTATCAGGGCGTCCAGCCTTCCCTTCCCCATCATGCTTCTGTGTGACCTTATTCTGAAGATTTACTCAGACAAGCGATGCAGATGGTAGCTAAATAACCATAGAGGAGGAAGAAAGCATCTTAAAAGGAGTATAGGTAGTGCCTCTATCCGCCACTATCTTTTTCTGCCTTTCCAAGACATTTCCCTTCCAGACCCTACCTCCCCCACTGTTCCAACATTTCTGTTATTGTTTTCATCTCAGGTTGCACTAGACTTATGGCGTCCCCATGAAGGAACAATCTCCAGAATGTCCTGTCCTCAACTGTCTGGCTCTTGTAAACTCAACCCTGTAAAATCCTTAGGGAGTCAATCCTTCTCATGTCCTGCTTTTCCTCTTTTCCTGCTTCCTTCCACCTTTCCCAGCATTATTATGGTCTTTTCCAGAGATTCCTGTCTTCTCACGATGTACCCCAAGTAGGACACAGCCTCAGTTTCAACATCGTTGCCACTAGAGATAGTTCAGGCTTGATTTGATCTAGGACCCCCTTGTTCGTCTTTCTGGCAGTCCAGGTTATCCACAAAGCATCACATTTCAAATAAATCATTTTTTCCCCTGCTAGTGCTCTGTAGTGTCCAGCTCTCACACCCATATGTGGTAATCAGAAATATAAGAGTGCTGATGATTTTGATCTCGGTCTCCAATGCAACATCTTTTCTACCTCTTTCTTGTCTGTCTTTCTTTCATTCACCGACTTTTTTGTTTGTTGCATTTACGACTTCTGTGCTGTTTAACATCCACATGAAACAGCTGGGGCAGGTTGTCGAGAGTTTTAGGTTTCACGCTCTCCAGTATGTGAATGACACCCAACTCTATCTCTCCCTTCCATCCATTTCTGAAGAAGCCATTTTGGCACTAGATCAGTGTCTGGTGTCAGTCATGGACTGGATGAGGTTGAATAAAGTGAAACTTGATGCAGACCAGACAAAGGTGCTCATGGTCAGTGGAAAGGTAGATCAAGGAACAGAGTTGCAGCCTGTGCTGGATGGGGTCACACTCCCTCTGAAAACGCAGTTTTTGGGGTACTCCTGGATTTGCCTCCTGAGTCTCAATGCCCTGATTTTCATGGTGGCTAGAAGTGCATTTGCACGGTTAAAACTAGTGCGCCAGTTGCACCTGTTCCTTGAGAGGTCTGATCATGACACATGCCTTAGGCACACCCTAGCTGGATTCCTGTAATGCGCTCTATGTGGAACTGCCCTTGGGAAGTGTCACGAAACATCAGTGGATCCAAAACGCTGCAGTCAGATTGTTAATTGTGGTTTGGTTACAGGGATCGTATAACCACACACACACACCCCTTTACAGCGGCTTCACAGGCTGCCGATCCGATTCCATGCTCAATTCAAAGTACTGTACTGGTTTTAGGTTGTAAAGCCCACAGGGGCTTAGGTGCAAGCTATCTCAAAAACCACATCTCCCTTGACGAGGTCCCAAGTTCCAGAGAAAGGTTTTTCTGCCAAAAGTTCCATCCCAAGAGAACGATGGATTCTGGAACCGATCTCCCGTATGAATTCACGAGTCTTCTTCCCTGTCTCTTATCAATCCAGGTCATTCAAACAGACGCTGTTAAGGCGGCTGTAGGTGTTAGGAACACACAAATGCACTGTACTATTAGATAGGTCCCTGATTGTGCCGTGAGTTAAAGGCCATAGCGACAATGGAGTTGGGCAGCTATTGTTTAATTAGCCACCAAAGGAAGGAAAACAACAACAGCACAAGAGTACAAATTGTTCGTAATTGGGGCAGGGGAGAGGCCGGGACCAGGGTGTTTGCTCCTGTAAGTCTCTGTCTGAGGTAGACTTCGGGTTTGGGGACCCGAGATATAGCATGCCACGAATTTCAGGTCTGAGTTCTTTTTAGCGGTTCCTACACCCTGACATTCCGGCTGCCGTTGCTGGCGGCTATCCAAAACCATGTCCTTTTTTTGCTGGCAAGTTATGTTAGCAGCTCCCCCCCCAAAAAAGGTCACCGCTCTGCTAACAGCCTTGCTCGCTTTGGCTGGATTAAGATCTGCAGGCATCTGATCCACTGTCCTTTGCTTTGAGAGGAAGAACAACAGCAGGACAGAGCGATTCCTTTCTGCCGGGTAAGAGGAGACGAGAAAGAAAGGGAGGGACACTTTTTGGCTGGCTGTGAAACGGGAGCAGGCGAGGAGGTTGATGAAGTGGGTGGGCAGAGCAGAATTAGGGAGAAAACCAGAGCAGAAGATGGGGAGCAGTGGAGAATTCTGGGGGGGGAACACAGTGGGGACTTGGCAGAGGATCTCCTCCTTGATTCAGATAGAGAACTTGAGAACTTCTGGGTAGCTCAGTGGCTTAGGCGTTGGGAGTTCGATTCCCCACTGGGCCTCCTTGATGGGCTGGAATTGATGGTCCATAAGGTCCTTTCCATCTCTGCCATTTTAAGATTGTTATTGTTGTTATCCATCTTGTTTAGGGTGTTTTGCTGCCCTCCTTTTTCTCCTTTTGTCTTCTAATAATCTCCCCCCCCCCGCTCCGCCCTTCCATGTCTGGGTCCTTCTTCCAGTTGCAGGACATGTTGTCTAAAGCAAGCACGGATTTTGCTGAGGAGGACAATATTCCATCCGGCACAACACAGAGGCTCCTGTTCAGGTGGATTGTGCAGGAGGGTGATGGAGGTACCGCCTCACTGGGTAAAGCATTCTTTATTATTTCATCAAAGTATTTAATTTACATCCTGTTTTTCTGCTTGTCAAAGGACTTAATGGGTGAGAGACGTTGGCTAGGAAATATAGACAGGCTTACGAAGGATTGTTATGATTTGTGGCTTACAAATGATTTTAAACAACCCTGAAGCAAACAAATTAAACAATTATGATTAATTATGTAAGAAGTACAAGCGGGATTACGAAGGGGCAGAGGAACTCGAGACCAAATTGCGAACATGCACTGGATTATGGAGAAAGCCAGAGAGTTCCAGAAAAACATCTACTTCTGCTTCATTGACTATGCAAAAGCCTTTGACTGTGTGGACCACAGCAAACTATGGCAAGTCCTAAAAGAAATAGGCGTGTCTGACCACCTTATCCATCTCCTGAGAAACCTATATGTGGGACAGGAAGCAACAGTTAGAACTGGATATGGAACAACGGATTGATTCAAAATTGGGAAAGGAGTACGACAAGGCTGTATATTGTC